AGTGATTTGGTCCAGCTGAAAAATGTTTAAAATTAGCACTTCGGAAGCTGTCAAAAGATTTGAAGACCCCCTTAATATGAAATTGTCCATATTTTGAGTTAGAGCCGATGTAGTTTTCTATAATTTTGATATAATTTGTCCCATAAGTAGTACAACACACTGTAAAAATATTATTGAGAAAGCGCAGGTGGGATTTTTTTAATTTTCATTTATTGTCTAAAAGAAATGCACTATGAAATAACTGTGTACTCGGACCGAATGTCTATGCACCTATCCTGAGTCAGGAGCCTGTTGTTCAGTAGTTGTGGTTTGTTGGTGTGGTCCATAGTTATTTCTCCGTTTGTATATAGATTAGATCGTTGGTTTTCCTGTTTGACATGTTTGAATTGTTTTACACTAGTAATTTTGGGGTCCTTTATAGCTTGCTGTTTGGTCTGGGCCAAAGCTCTGTGTTGAAGGCCGTACTATGACCTGTAATTGTATTAACTCTAAATACATTATCAGGTTGGGAACAATCCTCCAAATGAATAATCCCTTAAATGAAAGACTGTCCCTCATTTTACTGTTGTAGAAAAGAAAACAGAAAAAACGTATATTTTTTAACCTAAAAGGGGGGAAAATTCATCATATTTGGAACAACTTTTTTAAAAGAGGGGTCCACTTATTTTTAATAATAAAGAAGATATATATAATTAAAGTCCATGCAGGACTATTAAAGGTGTCAGACCACCAATTAAAAGTCCCTATCTGTTCAACCAAAATTTGCAATTTTCACAGCTTTCTAAATTTTTACCTTAAGTTTAATTTCTGGAAATCTTAAATTAGTATACTATGGAGTGCATTAATCCTCACTGTTGAATGCAAACTCATAGACAAGTAAATTTTGGCTCAAAATGGTCTTAATATATTTCTCTTTCACCAAAAGTTTCATTTCTGCCAATTTGTTGGTTAGTTTAAGTAAACAATGACATCAAATGCACTATTTTTTGTCTGAGTAGGCCTACTTTCACATATGTTCTAAATTGGAGGGAGTAATTGGTGGTCTGACACCTAAAGAGCCAAAAAAGTTGATCAGAAATCTTTTGTTTTTCTTTATTCTTAATCCATAGTCAATTTGTAGTTAAAAACATCCTATCTGAGCATAATGCGACTTATATTACAAATTTTACAGCTCAATTTAAACTGACTGTAATGTATGATTTTTTTAGAAAATACTTGAAAATTTCATTTTTGGACTACAGGAACATAAACTTTCAATATCAAGATCAGTTTGTGTTGATTTTTCCTTGCTTGTTCTACTGCTTTAAAGACTTTCCACAATTTTTGCAATGAGTTTAGTAAAAAATCCAAGGTATTGAAGAGTCAAGGAATATTGACCCCCTTTTTTTTCACCTGGTGTCAGTAATGGGACTATTAATTGATCAAAAGTGCAGTCATGGTCATTAAATTGTTTTATTTACTATCAGTCAATAAAATTTAAGATATAAAAATTTTATTTGAGATAATAAATGGGATTTTTGTGAGTTTATGCAGTGTTTACATCAGGCTATGTTATCTGCCAAATACATGGTATGACACAATGATATAAGAGGTAAAAATCAAATAATTTCATTAAATCTTCATGACAACAATTTTTTTTGGGTAGTAAACAACCGATGTTTTCATGTTTAACACCACAGAAACAACTTACTGTGCATTTATAACAATTTTGGACATTTGTTTATATGAAAGCATATTGTCAGGTTGGGAAAAGCTAAAAATAGCACAAATTCAGGTTTAAGGCTCTTAATTTGCAATATGTGACTTTTTCACCCAAAAAAGATTGAAATGTGGCTACTATCATTTCAAATGATCAGTTAAGACAAAAAAATCAATTGTTTTCTGATTTTGGGGTTTAACCGCAATTTCCCTTTAAAGGTGTCAGACCACCAATTAAAAGTCCCTATCTGTTCAACCAAAATTTGCAATTTTCACAGCTTTCTAAATATTTTACCTTAAGTTTAATTTCATAGAAACCAGGTATATCCTGAATTGTACATGTATCAGCTTTCTACATGCCAATTTTCAACATACCTTTAAAATCATATAAGAAAGAAGAGGCCTCCCGAATAGCATGAATAGAGGTACCACTAAAAATAACCCCTGGTTTTCTGGAAATCTTAAATTAGTATACTATGGAGTGCATTAATCCTCACTGTTGAATGCAAACTCATAGACAAGTAAATTTTGGCTGAAAATGGTCTTAATATAATTCTCTTTCACCAAAAGTTTCATTTCTGCCAATTTGTTGGTTAGTTTAAGTAAACAATGACATCAAATGCACTATTTTTTGTCCGAATAGGCCTACTTTCACATACGTTCTAAATTGGAGGGAGTAATTGGTGGTCTGACACCTATTACAAAATTCTTGGGACATGTTTTGACCATGTAATACCAGATATATGTATAGTTCTTTGGGAAAGGGTTCTTCAAATGATATAAATATGTGCCCTTTTGAACTAGAAAGTGGTTTTTACAAAAAAAAAATACTGTATATCACTTGAAATGTACTCCTCCTAAAAAAAAGAGTTATTACATTGAGAGGTTACCCATCTTTTGAGGGGTTGTTCCCAAACTGATTATGACTTGGATGGAGAATTGTCTCATTGGCACTCATACCACATATTATGTATATACAAAGTGCCAAAAAGAATAAAAGACAAAGAACTAAAATGAGAACACCAAAACGACAGAGACACAGACAACCATCATATAACATAAAGAACTAAAATGTACACATTAACGAACAGCTCGAACCCCAAAAAACTGGAGGTGAACTCAGGTGTTCCGGAAGGATGAGCAGTTCCTGCTTCTTGCAAGACAGCCACCATGTTGCTAGTTAGAAGTCATGTCTGTAAAGGAGGAAAGACATCTATGACAATTCAATGGAGATCATTTAAAGCAGTTGAAGTAATTATTCAATTATCTTTCTTGGTGAACAGGAAAGAAAAAAAACACTTCATAAATTAAAGAAATGTCAAAGTACAAGTGGTAAATCAAGTTTTATACCATCGTGTTTTGATCAATATTGTCAAAACCTATGTTTACAAAATAAATATATTCACTCGCCTTTACTTTTCAAGCTTCGCCTCAAAAATTTGCAAATTAAAGTTTTTTTTATTAAAATTTTCCAACCCGCTCGCCCCAATTGTTGGAGTCGAAAAAAAAAACGGTAGAACAAGAATTTAATTGGTGTGGCTTAATAGCTCATGCCATCAAACAAGAAATCTGAAGAAAATTGAAATTTGTTTTCCATTTCACACCTTTAACAGCAATATAGTTGTCAAAGAGGCCAATTAATCATTGAATGGTTGCAAACCAATGTACTTAAATAAATAATTATGTTGTGCAACTCTTTTTATAGGTCATTAGAGGAAATCAGATCTTATTAATAGTTTTTCCGCTTGTCAATAAAAAATTATATGTTAATTCTATTTGTCCAATACCTTCATTTAATTGTCTAGGTCAATCTGACAAATGGTAATATCAAGCCCTATCCATACACCTTTTCTCCTTCCTGCCCATTTGTTTCATTCTGGAACAGCCCTTAATGTTTAATTATACCCCACGCAACAAAGTTGCGGAAGGTATAATGTTTTTCAGCTGTCCGTCCATCCGTACGTACGTACGTACGTACGTCCAAAAATTGGTTTCCGTTCTCTAACTTTAGTTTTCCTCAACCAAATGTTATGAAACTTATACACAATGCTTATTACCACAAAACACAGATCAAGTTTGAATTTTGGTGGCGTCACTTTAACTGTTCCAGAGTTATGCTCCTTTACAAATGGAAAAATTGCTGAATTTTTTCTTTACCGTTCTCTAACTTTAGTTTGCCTCAACCAAATATTATGAAACTAATGTGCAAGGCTTATTACCACAAAATACAGATCAAGTTTGAATTTTGGTAGCATCTTTTTTTCTGTTCTAGAGTTATGCTCCTTTACAAAGGGAAAAATTGCTGAATTTTTCGTTTCTGTTCTCTAAGTTCAGTTTGCCTCAACCAAATGTTGTGAAACTTATACACAATACTTATTACCACAAAACTCAGATGAAGTACAAATTTGGGTAGTGTCACTTTTACTGTTCTTCAGTTATGTCCCTTTATAACTTTATATGATATGCAAGCAGGGGCATCATCTGTGTCACATGGACATATTCCCCATTTATTTTTCTAGGAGTTATGCCCCTTTAACTTAGAATTTGGCCAGTCCCGTTCTTGTCATCGCAACTCCTCTGAAACCGCACAACAGAATTTCATGAAACTGAAGATAATAAGGACATGATACTATGCAGATGTTTATATCAACAGGAAATTACGATTCAATTTTTTTCTAGAAGTTATGCCCCTTTAACTTAAAATTTTGGCCAAAATATACTTTGTCATCACAACTCCTCTGAAACCACACAACAGAATTTCATGAAAATTTGTAGATAATAAGGACATACTATGTAGATGTGCATATCCACAGGAAATTATGATTCAATTTTTTTCTAGGAGTTATGCCCCTTTGAACTTAATTTTGGTCTAAATATACTACTGCAACAGTTTGTAATCGCAACTCCTCTGAAACCACACAAGACAATTTCATGAAACTTTGTAGTTAATGAAAACATAATATGTAAATGTGCATATTCACAAGAAAATTTTTATCAGTTTACTTTTCAGTTTGTTTTGTAGAGTTATGAGTCTTTGAACTTAGGAATCTGTTGAGATTTTGTTTGTCCAGTGACCATGTGGGGGCTTTGGGGTATGTGAGCGTGCTCACAAAGGTTCTTTAATTATACATGCGATGTACATGTACATAAAACAGTACTTCATATTTTTTGGCCGCATTTGGTGATCTCTAATCTTATCCTATATATATACACAGATATGTATATTCTTTAAATTAAATCAATATAATTCAGAAATTTCTAAAATAATTTTGAAATTGCTCAAACATATAAAATGTATTAAAATGAAATATTTTTTATACAGGACAAGGAAAAGTGAACGTGCCCAAATCAAAGGCCAGAAAAATGTAAGTATTAATAAATGAGTCATAACAACAGTGTAGGTGTGTTCAATTAACAAATTTTTACTAAAAGTACTTGAAAACATATAAAAAGTGGATCTTAAATATGCATAATTTCAAAATAATTTCATTTTTATGCACCACCTTGGGGTATATGTTTTTTCTGTCTGTGCATCCATTCATTTGTCCGTCCGTCCGTCCATTCGTCTGTCCCGCTTTAGGTTAAAGTTTTTAGTCAAGGTATTTGTTAATGAAGTTGAAGTCCAATCAACTTGAAACTTGGTACACATGATATGATCTTTCTAATTTTAATGCCAGATTAGAGCTTTGACTTCAATTTCACGGTCCACTGAAGATAGAAAATGATACTGCTAGTGGGGCATCTGTGTAACCTGTATACTATGGACACATTCTTGTTTGTGTGTGTTACCTAGGTTATTAGTCTTCATCCTCTGCCAATTTTTAGCTCACCGGGGCCCTAAGGGCCCCATGTGAGCTTATGCCATCACTTGGCGTCCGTCGTCTGTCGTCGTTGTCTGTCGTCGTCGTCTGTCGTCGTCGTAAACTATTTAAAAAATCTTCTCCTCTGAAACTACTGGGCCAAATACCTTCAAATTTAAATAAATGTTCCTTAGGGTATCTAGTTTATAAATTGTATCCGAAGTTTTGATCCATTTACAAACATGGCCGCCATGGCTAAAAATAGAACATAGGGGTCAAATGCAGTTTTTGGCTTATATCTCAAAAACTAAAGCTTTTAGAGCAAATCTGACATGGGGTAAATTGATTGAATTAGTCAAAATCTATCAGCTCTGAAATTTTCAGACGAATCAAACAACCCATTGTTGGGTTGCTGCCACCGAATTGGTAGTTTTAACAAAATTTTGCAGTTTTTTTTTATTATTTTGAATATTATTATAGATATATATAAACTGTAAGCAGCAATAATGTTCAGCAAAGTAAGATCTACAAAAAAGTTAATATGACCATAATTGTCAATTGACCCCTTAAGGAGTTATTGCCCTTTAAAGACAATTTTACACAATTTGTTCATCAAGTTTGCTAACATTTAAAAATCTTCTCCTCTGAAACTACTGGGCCAATTACCTTCAAACTTTAACTAAATGTTCCTTAGGGTATCTTGTTTATAAATTGTATCCGAAGTTTGTATCCATCAACAAACATGGCCGCCATGGCTAAAAAATAAAACATAAGGGTCAAATGCAGTTTTTGGCTTATATCTCAAAAACTAAATCTTTTAGAGCAAATGTGACAGGGGTAAAATTGTTGAATTGGTCAAGGTCTATCGGCCCTGAAATTTTCAGACGAATCAAACAACCCATTGTTGGGTTGCTGTACCGAATTGGTAGTTTTAACAAAATTTTGCAGTTTTTTGTTATTATTTTGAATATTATTATAGATATATATAAACTGTAAGTTGCAATAATGTTCTGGTAAGTAAGATCTACAAAAAAGTTAATATGACCATAATTGTCAATTGACCCCTTAAGGAGTTATTGCCCTTTAAAGACAATTTTACACAATTTGTTCATCAAGTTTGCTAACATTTAAAAATCTTCTCCTCTGAAACTACTGGGCCAATTACCTTCAAACTTTAACTAAATGTTTCTTAGGGTATCTTGTTTATAAATTGTATCCGAAGTTTGTATCCATCGACAAACATGGCCGCCATGGCTAAAAATAAAACATAAGGGTCAAATGCAGTTTTTGGCTTATATCTCAAAAACTAAATCTTTTAGAGCAAATGTGACATGGGGTAAAATTGTTTAATTGGTCAAGGTCTATTGGCCCTGAAATTTTCAGACGAATCGAACAACCCATTGTTGGGTTGCTGTACCGAATTGGTAGTTTTAACAAAATTTTGCAGTTGTTTGTTATTATTTTGAATATTATTATAGATATATATAAACTGTAAGCAGCAATAATGTTCAGCAAAGTAAGATCTACAAAAAAGTTAATATGACCATAATTGTCAATTGACCCCTTAAGGAGTTATTGCCCTTTAAAGACAATTTTACACAATTTGTTCATCAAGTTTGCTAACATTTAAAAAATCTTCTCCTCTGAAACTACTGGGCCAATTACCTTCAAACTTTAACTAAATGTTCCTTAGGGTATCTTGTTTATAAATTGTATCCAAAGTTTGTATCCATCGACAAACATGGCCGCCATTGCTAAAAATAGAATATAAGGGTCAAATGCAGTTTTTGGCTTATATCTCAAAAACTAAATCTTTTAGAGCAAATGTGACATGGGGTTTAATTGTTTAATTGGTCAAGATCTATCGGCCCTGAAATTATCAGACGAATCGAACAACCCATTGTTGGGTTGCTGCCACTGAATTGGTAGTTTTAACAAAATTTTACAGTTTTTTGTTATTATTTTGAATATTATTATAGATATATATAAACTGTAAGCAGCAATAATGTTCAGCAAAGTAAGATCTACAAAAAAGTTAATATGACCAAAATTGTCAATTGACCCCTTAAGGAGTTATTGCCCTTTAAAGACAATTTAACACAATTTGTTCATCAAGTTTGCTAACATTTAAAAATCTTCTCCTCTGAAATACAGGTGAGCGATTCAGGCTCTTGAGAGCCTCTTGTTAGTCTTTCTTTCCATGAAATATTTGATTAGGATTTTATAAAACATTTTTAACTTTTTGAAAATTCCACATGACAACCGATCAGACAATAGTTTTAAATTGACTGAATGCAGAAAAATACAATAAATGATGCTCAATAGGTAGTAGATACATTTAGCTTTTAAAATACAACCAAGGCATATAATGATCATATTAATGGTGCTATGTGAATAAATTTATCGGTTTACAAGAGCTAAATTAGCGTCATCACTATAAGCTATGTACAATGGCTTCCAGGTTTATCATACTTTTTGGTGAGTTCTTTGAATTTATCTTCATTCACTCTTGTCCTCAGTCCCTGGTTCATATGATTGGCTAAACCATGATTAATTTTTGGACCTGTCTTTTCATCAGAATTTATAATAAAATCTTTCATTGGTTCTAAGACATTTGCATTTTTAGTTTTTTCTAGATCTGCTTCATGTTCATCATGATCATTGTTCTCCGAACAATCTTCATCATTGCAATCTTAACTTTGTTTGTCACTTGAAACATCTGGATATAATTCAGAAGGTGCAGAAATATTATTGTTTGTGTCAAACAAACAGTCCATTTGTGATTGATAGTTATCTTTTCTAGATTTATTTTGAACGACCTTTCTTGGTCTGGCCATTGTTGCCAATTGTCTAGAATAAATCTTTGGTGCTGTCTGAATAGTATCAGTTTGTAAATTCTGTTTTTGCATCAAAGTTTGTATGTATAACTGATTCTGCAATAACATATTGTAGACATCCGATATAGCTACTTCCTGTGTTTGATTGACAGGAGTATTACCCATGGCTCCACCTCCTACAATAATGTTTTCAATACTCGCTTGAAAAGCACTGATTTTTGTTATCATAACCTGGCGAAATAAGTTGCCTGTGGTCATAATTTGGGCTGAAAATATTGTCACTTTTAGAACTTGTCTTGGCCTTGCCAGAAAGTTCCGTTACCGTTCCATTAGCAAATGTTTGCTGACAACGTAACAAAATTATCCATCACAAGCTACATCGTTAGAATATTAATGAATCCAAAAACTATATCAAATCGTAAATATCGTATTCCAAATGTCACAAATAAATTAATTTCCAAATAAAAACAAGTAAGATATCCATTATTTCCAATAAACTTAAGAGGGATAAATTTCATGAATTGACCTCATAAGACCAAATACGCTAGTGACCTCTACGATCTGCTTGTGCATCTCATGGTACTCTCAGCATATAGGTTCAATAAAATTAAAAGGTGCAGATATAATGCTACTTTTCCCTTCTTATCAGAGTCCAATCTTTAGGAAAATTGCTCCTGCACATCCAAATGTGAGGGACAAACTAGCATCTATTTTTACACTAAGTGAATCTCTCGAGAGGCTATTATTGACATCCATCTTTTGCCTTTTAACTTGGCAGTTGAGCCTCCCTTGTGAAAGAATTCCTGGATCAGCCTTTGCTTTATGAATATAGCTAGCATGTATTAAACCAATCTTACTTCATAAGTTAATATATATACATACATAACATATGAATTCAAACAATCATAGAATTTTCATTTCTTTTTCCTCATTAGGTGTCTAGTGCAGTTAAAGAGGCAGAGTTGTATATAAGACAGGGTATTGACAAGGATGGTTTTATTGTCAAAGATATTAACCCTGAAATAGGTGAGTTTTGTTAGAATTTTATGTGTTGTCCTCCATTGATATCTTTGTAACAATACAGCCTTCCATTTCAGTTTCTAGGTAAATTCTAACATTTTGGCATCAAAGGTACAGTGAATTAGAAATTATTGTAAGGTTTCCATTAATTTGTTTGGACACCAATTCACCCACTTCAACTTGAAAATGCCTGTACCAAGTCAGGAATATGACAGTTGTTATTCATTCTTTTGATGTGTTTGAGCTTTTGATTATGCCATTTGGCTACGAACTTTCCGATTTGAATATTCCTCGAAGTTCGGTATTTTTTGTTATTTTAGTTTTTAGAACATATGCTGTTGTTTACTTAAACTAGCAAACAAATTTGTAGAAATGAAATATACATATAGACCAATTTGAACATAAATCATGCCTTAAGTTTTCTTATTTAAATTGTTTTACATTTGTCATTTAGGGGCCTTTTATAGCTGATAATGTGGTATGGTTTACAGTCATTGTTGAAGGCCATACAGTGACATAGTTGTTAATTTCTGTGATGTTTGGTCTCTTGTGGAGAGTTGTCTCATTGGCAATCATACCACATCTTCTTATTTTTACATTAATTTTGAGTTAAAATTTACAAGTCAAAGATTATGCTTTAAAAATTGAGGATTAATGTGCTCGATAGTATGCTTATTGAAGATATTCAGAAAACCGGGGTTTATTTTTAGTAGCACTTGACTTCTGAATGGTGGTGTTTCACTGCAAGACTTTAAATATTTAAACATTGGTTGAAAATTGTCTTAAAGAAGGATGACTATCACAATGATATAAAATCACAATCCATATATACGAATACAAAATTAAAATTATATCTGTTTGCACTTTTTTCATGAAATTGCAAAAATTAATCTTTAATTTTGTATGGTCATGTCAAATTCACAATAATATATTATTGCAATAATTTCTTATTGCAATAATTTCTGATATTTCAGTATTCAACTTAGATAAACTTCATCAATCATGCTAATAAAGTACAATTTTATTTTGTTAAACATATTGTGTCCTTTTGCCTGTCATACAAACATCCAACAAAAACACACTATTTAAAACCTGCACAGGAAACATTCGCAACAGGTTTCACTATGTTTAAAATATATCCCTTATTTTATTTGGATATGTGTGAGATACTTGTAATTGTCTGAAATTCCTAAACCAATGGAAGAAAAAAGAACCATTTTAACTAGATTTCTAATTTAAATCATGTCTGTAACTCATGCTGTTTAAGATTGCAATATTTTGAACCTGCCAACTGACTGTTTATTTATGTTTAATGTTTTTGAAGTGATAAACAAGCAACTTGAATAAATTTCTCTGTTGTATTAGATAATTATATGTCTGCTGATTTATGGATCATTTAATTTAAACTGAAGTAATCCTGATTCTGAAGAGTAATAACCTTAATTCCATTGAATACACTGTATACTTCTAAAAATAAATAATATAAATTCAAATCAATACATCCTCACTCTAGGAGAGGGAACTATATTGCAATAAATGTTGGTTGTGTTTCTCTCAGGAACTGCAAATTAGAGCTCATGAAATTTGGTTTTAAGCTTAGGAAAGCATGCTACTACATATATGCATACTGCGAAAGTATTTTTATTCATGGTTATCAATTTTCATGGATTGAGCAAAAGTTACATGTTCGTGGGTTCTTAAATTCATGGATTTTAGTTTTCTGAGAAAAAAATTTGGGTGAAAATTGGATCCCATCAGAAACGAAGTATCTTGAAAATAATCACATGGTGTTCATTTTCACTTACATGTTCGTCTTTAATTTTCTGACAACATTCATCAAATTTTTTATAAAATAATTGCTTTCAGAAATAAGCTGACTCATCTCTGAATACAAATTGTCTCATTGAAGAAAATTGCAAAGTAAACATTTTGATTGTTGCACACGTGTAATCAGAAGTGGTGACACCAATTAACCGGACATCCAATAATCAAGAGATTAACGATCATCAAAGGTGTTAATTGGGCCATAAACATGTCATCTAAAGAAAAAAATTGCATAAAAATGCTACAAATGTACTTTGAAGAAAATTGAGAATGGAAATGGGGAATGTGTCAAAGAGACAACAACCCGACCAAACAGCAGAAAACAGCTGACGGCCACCAATGAGTCTTCAACACAGCGAGAAAATCCCGCACCCGGAGGTGGGCTTCAGCTGGCCCCTAAACAAAATGAATGAATACTTATGAAATAATACTTTTGAAATAAAAATAGCAAGCCCAATATGCAACAATTTTTATTTTTTTCCGTGAGAGAATTATGAGCAGATAAAATTAACACTTCATCATCATACATCTTAACCGGAAGTCTGACTTTCATTTTTCAAAGCTAATTTTTTACTTTGGTTTATAATTTAAAAATTAAAATCCTGTCTGAAGTTGTACATGCTACACTTTTGCTACGCCACTGCATATAGTTCATAGTGCGTTTGCTGATATTTGATGTTTTCTCTAGAAAATATGCCCGTATCCATGTAGTCGAACCTACAGGGGATTTTTCCATGTCTTGATTTGGACAACAGTTGTTATATTTCGTTGGACACTTAAATTCGTGGATAAAACCTTCCACGAAAACCACGAAAATTGGTACCCCACGAATAAAAGTACTTTCACAGTATTCGTGTGTGTGTGATGCATTAGATGCACTAATATATTTCTGGTTTACTTATAATAATGTATATATGTGGTAAAATATTTAAGCAATGGTATTGTTAAAGGGCACAGCTCATAGGATGTAAAGCACAAAAATACTTATAGATATATTATTAGTTTTCTTGTTTAATTTTTTACATTTTCATTTTGGGGCTTTTTATTGCTGACTATACAGCATGACTGTTTTATCTTTGTTGAAATCCATACAGTAAACTTCAATTGCGCGTAATATATCCTTTTCATTTGAACTTTGGTCCCAGGATATTTGTCTCATTAGCAGTCTTACCATATCTAATTATTTTTATATGTACTTATAGACTGAAACATGTCTTTCCATATCTGTCCTGGTATCATCCCAAGACACTAATATTAGCTAAAGGCGCAAGCTGAGGGCTCATATGGATCAAGGGATGATACTAGGGCCCATATGGAAAAGAACATGTCATATATTTATACATATGCTTAAGGAAAGAATTTTATGATTAGTCTGGCAAGATCATAAATGTTTTTCCACTGAAATATTTTCACTATTACGAAACTCAAAATACTTGAAAATTGTAATGTCATGTGAGATTTTCTTTTAGCAGTTAAGTGTTAGTTATCTTTATTTATTTGACAAATTAATTTTCATTGATTTTGACAAAATGAGCACCTCTTCATCAGTCATTGCTGTTAGAAATGCTTACAACATCATTAATAACCAAATGACAAGGCACAATTAACTGGTTATTTGGAAATATTAATAGGGCAAATCTGTGGTTATATATATATTGTGTAAATATGCAAACCCCAATGTTTCATAACAAATATATGATAAATGTATTTATTGAATATATTTTAGCTTAAAAATATAAAATTACATATTGAGTAGTTGCATATATACATGTAAGATTACTATTCAGTGATATATTTAGAAAATTAAGCTTGAAAAAATCACCTGAATAACAATGAATTAAGAGATGTGGTATATAATTGCCAATGAGGCAACTCTATTGAATCAGATGATATCCACCAGAGTTCAAATGAAGTGGATGTAAGCAATTATAGGCAACCCTACCACCTTCAACAATGAGAAAAACTGTCTATTAAAGGCACAAATATGAAAAATATGGAACAATTAAATAAGAAAACTATTTATTTGTACTTCAACATGTTCAAGGTTCAAAATTTGAAAGAAAACAAGGTCTCTGCTCTTTGGTCGGGTTGTTGTCTCTTTGACACATTCCTCATTTCCAATTCTCAATTTTACTCATTAGAAAGGTCCTTAGTACAACCTGTTATACTCATTATGAGTCAGCCAAAGAATGGAAACTTTGAAAGTAAACATGAGTTATTAAATAATTTATTACACTCCAGTATAGAAAACTGGAAGATTACAGTTTAGACCTAAATTTTTACTAAACAATTTAGCAGAAATCATTTAAATTTATTTATAAATCAGTGAGCACATTTTTCAACCCTGATATTTTTCTGATTCTAAACAAATGCCATTAATGAATTTTACTGTATGACTCATGTACATTCTAGACAGTGCATGATGTAAAAGTCCCACACTTTTGTAAAATGTATCAGACTAAATTTGCCAATGGAATGTTAGCACACTAATTTCTGTGTAACTATTACTTTTCCTGTCTGACAGGATCACATGACCTTAACTTCATTTTAATGAATCAGTAATCATTTAGTTGTTACTATATCTAGAACATTATTTTGTAAGGTGTAAATTCCATCTGACAGAGATGTTTGTCTTTGATAAAAATTAATTCATAGTTCAGTGTTAATGATTAGTTTTCTTGAACAGATTGAACATGTTGAAAAGTATATAATCTCTGCAACCCATATGTTTCCTCCACTACAAATAAAAAGGAAATGGGAGTGGAAGAAAATGACATGCCAAGTAAAAAAAAAAAAAATGGAAAACCATTCTTACATGCCTTAAATTCTAATTGCTAATTAACTCAAAGGAAATGATATATTTACAATCTTTATACTTATAACTGAGAACAATAACACATAAAATATGTTACAATAAATACATAATAAAATATTAATAGAATTAAGGTGGTACCCAACACCTCGACTAATATTAATTTGGCTCGTTTAATTTTCATAAAATTTTGACAAAATGTTTACTTTGACCCTTTGACAAAAATATAAAAATTTCAAAAAATTTGAACCAACCACTTTATCAGAAAAATTTCATTGGTTATATAGCAGTTTGACAAACACTAATTTTGATCATTGAGAAGCTTAATATTTCCTTAACAATACAACGTAATTAAAACGTTTAGCTGATT